CAGCTCCCTCAGCCTTTCCTCATAAGGGAGATGCTCCACTCCCTTAATCATCTTCATGGCTCTGCACTGGACTCTCTCAAGCAGTTCCCTGTCCTTCTTGAACTGTGGGGCCCAGAACTGGACACAATATTCCAGATGCAGCCTCACCAGGGCAGAGTAGAGGGGGAGGAGAACCTCTCTCGACCTACTAACCACACCCCTTCTAATGCACCCCAGGATGCCGTTGGCCTTCCTGGCCACAAGGGCACAGTGCTGGCTCATGGTCATCCTGCTGTCCACCAGGACTCCCAGATCCCTTTCCCCTACACTGCAGTCCACCCCACTACTCGATCATCCAGACCACACTTCCTCATTTTAGCTGTGAGGATGCTGTGGGAGACAGTGTCAAAAGCTTTGCTGAAATCAAGATAAATCACATTGCCAACACATACATGCACACACAAAAAAATCCTGCTACTTATTTTATTGTTATATGTATTATATATGTTATATGTGATCTTTTTGTTATTTTGTATACAGGGAATTGAAGCAGAAAGTTCTCTAGCACTAGAGGGAATCACCTACATAAAAATTCAGAGCAGACCATTCTAGTCGACTTTATCACTTTGCTAAGAAGGATTTTAACTCTGTCACAGAGATCTGCTTATGCATGCAATTCCTGCAGTATCCTGGCTGTGCTGTCTCACACGGACTCTGGAAGCCGTAACATACGGATACACAGAGACAGAACAGTACACAGACACTTTGCAAAATCAGAAAAAAAACCAAAACAAAAAAAGATCTGTCACCCAAAATTATCTGAACCTTTGTTTATCCCTAGATTAACTGGGGATTGATTGATCAAAAAGGATTTTGCTCTCTTTGTTAATTTATTTCATTATACAGATCACAATCAGAACTCAAATATCAGAAGAATAGAACAGAACAGAACAGAATAGAATAATTTTGGTAGGAAAAGATCATTAAGATCATTGAGTCCAACCATAAACCTAACTCTGCCAAGTCCACTTCTAAACCACGTCCCCAAGCACCACATCTACACATCTTTTAAATACATCCAGGGATTGCAACTCAACCACTGCCCTAGGCAGCCTCTTCCAATGCTCGATAACGCTTTTGGTGAATAAACTTTTCCTAATATCCAAACTAAATATCCCCGGGTGCAACTTGAGGCCATTTCCTCTTGTCCTATCACTTGTTACCTGGAGAAGAGACCAAGCCCCACCCCAATGCTTGTTTCTGAGATCACTGGTCTGAGTGGGATCTGGTGAAAAGCTACACAGAAACATTAAAGATGAAAAGCTAAATGCATCATCTGCAAGATGTTGGGTGTGTGCTATCATACCAACGGTAATGAAAAGAATCAATTGGAAGACAAGAAGAACTGCTTGCTTAAATTGAAAGATTTCAAGAGAAGGTGCAAAGGCAAGAGATACAGCAGACGATGCAAGGTCCAACGTTACAGAAGTTAGTTAGACCTTGTTAGTTACACAGACAAATGAGAAGATATTAGAAGATAAAGTAGTACAGTTGGTTAGTGCTAACTTGGACAAACAAGATAGGATTGTGGATGTCCTTGAAGTGCAGGCCTTAATACAAGATCCTGAGCACTGGAATGGGGACATTCGGAACAACACTGATGACAAGCTAGGTGAATGGCCATACAATGGTGATGACACTGTGTAAGGAGTCTTCCCCACTATCAAACATGAGATAAGTGGGGGGACAGACAGAAGACCTGCCCAGATGTAGCTAATACCATCGCCTTTACCATCCTTGATCTGGCCAAGTTACATTGGGAGCTTGGTAAATGGCCTAATGAGTCTGCAATCAAGTAGGTCAAACAAGTTCATGAGATGGGAGGTGATCGAGTAGTTTTTGATCAAGCTCAGGGGGGAGGCTGGGGAGCTGGCATCTCTCTCAGCACAGGTCGGGGCGTGCCATGTTCCCTGACCACCAGAACCACCTATTGGGCAGGGGGCGTCTCTACACAGAGCGAGGAGAACAACTGCATATTCACACTCACTCTGCTCAGGAATTGGCTAACAGACGAGTGCAGTTGACCATTGAACAGTCTGTTAATCAAAGGGGATGCAATAATGACAGGGAAGCTTCAACCTCACCATTCTATCTGATCCCAAACCTGGATAAATTAGGACTGCTCACACAAAGGTTGGGACTCAGCCTTAAATTAATCTTAATTTATACTGCCCATGAAATGCCAAATGGGCAAAAGAACTGGGAATGGTTCATAAACCAGCTAACACTGAAGGCTAGAACAATAGGGTGCAATGACTACATCACCCAACCAAAACCCCTGAAAGAGGTCAGAACCCTCAAACAAGGTCCTGCAGGACCTTGGGCTAAATCCTCCAGTGGGACAAGAGATGAGAAAGAGGTCAGAACCAGGCTGTGGAGGGAAGGTTTAGACCTAGGTTTGTCACTAGAATTAATACACAAAAAACCACTAGCAGTTTTAGAGGCCATGGTCCAAGCTGCCTGTGAAGCTGGCTGGCGTGGCAAGGGTGCAAACCCCTGTCTAACAAGCTGTTTTATAAAGATGCTGGTTCAGTGTGCTATCACCCCACTGGCAGAAAATTAGTGCTGCCCATATCCTGTTTGGTATCCTGGATTGGCAGCTTAAACTCTTCACGTGGGACACCAAAAGGGATCCACATGTCATTATTGACCTGGGCTCTAATAGATTCCCTGTGAGATGTTTGATTGACACTGAAGCCCAATTTTTTTTTGCCTCTGCCTTAAAGGCAGCCCTGGGTATCTCTCCCCATGCACGTGTTGACATGCATGGAGTGGGCCACTAACCTCCCAGTGTGCCCACTGCCTGGGTGGTGTTGCACTTTCCTGATGAAGAGACATTACTGAGTTCAAGTTGCTTTTGTTCCCGACCCAAAACAAGTACTACAGCTCCACAAGAACAAGCACTACAGCTCCACAAGACTGAATGGTGAAGCTGCTTGTGGATAGCCCTGGCCAAAACAACAGACTCAGGTGAAACATGCAATGGTACTCTGTGGGACATTGATTGGCTCAATTTAGAAGCAGTGAAAAAGCAACTCCCATGATCATTTCCCAGTTCCTTGGTTTCAAATACAAGATGTTTCCCGGTACACTCACTTATGAGGAAAATGAAATCTAACTAAGCAGGCCCATGCAGTGCATTACTCTAAGGTCCAAGAGTTCAAACTTATCAATTCACCTCAAGAGAAATGGGCTCTCTCACCTCATACTATACATCAAGCATTATTCATATGGGAAAAGAATGCTTCCATGGTGGTAGAGGCGTCCCCAGGTATGGTATGGCTGTGTAGTGAAGAATATGCCTATCCCAACTTTAATTGGTGGAAAAATGAAACCTGGGAAAATGCCTATCAACCACCTGCCCGCACCCTGGGTACCATTCGGTTTGCCCTAGGAAATGGATGCCCTATGTTGCACGCCTTAACTGGGCATAACTATCAGGTAAAACGAGAAACACTTACTTGGGAAGAAATGAATGTGCGTCAATGAGTGTGTATAATCTATGACGGGATGGGTGGCAGACTGGTTTATTCCAGATAGCAACATTAAGACTAACATTATCACTTGAGATATCCTCGTCCAACTGGGATGTCTGGCCAACAGCACCAGAACATCCTTCACATTAGTCAATATACAAGCAAGCCACTGCCAAGATGATACTACAAAACAGACTGTCACTAGATGCCCTCTTGCTCAGACAAGGTGGAGTGTGTGCACTCATCAACACAACAACAGACCTCGGATTCTGAATCTGATTCCTTCAAGGGGTAGATAGTGGTGTAGGGTCTGACCATGCCACCTACTTGGTTTCCTTGATTCTGGGGAAGGTTCTAAGACAACACAGCCTGCAAGCTGACCACACGTGGCGGTCTGTAGCAGAGAAGTAATACATTCTCCTTTGGGAGTTCTAGTATCCTCTGTTCTTGTATTATGCAGTTTGTTCTAAAATGTAGCCTGCAGCTACAGCAGAAGAGATACCTATCTTTAAGGACAGGTGGACTGCTGTAGGAACAGGAAGGAGGAGCAGCAAGTTCTCTTAACCTCATTAAAAGATACACTGAATAAGGCAAGAAGACTTGCCCATTTCTCAAACATTTTATGAATCTACACATAGAAGACTGCAGTCCTCCCATACTCATGCATTTTTCTGGCCCTGTACAAATAATTCAAACAGAACATCCAGAAGGTTCACTATACGCTTTATCTAAATCGTGGGTTTAAAAACAAAAAAGGTCTATATAATAACTCCCAACCATTTCAGTAAGAAAACTCAGTAGCAAGAAATAGTGATTTTTTTCAGTAGAATCAATAAAGTATGTATTAGCTACAGGCTGCAGCAACATAAGCCAGTTGCCTGTTTGGGGCTCTACTGCAGTATCTGATAGCTGTGCTGAATAGACATTCTGACCTTTTCATGTTCTGGACTTATGGTTCCTTGATTGGCATTCACTTTTCCCAGGCACTTGAGTTTTTTTCTTATACATACACTAGCTAAAATCTGGAAGCAGCAAAGTATATCTGAATTTTATCAAAATTAAGAGACAGAACATACATAAGGAAAACTGATTTTGTTTTAAGTGGATGCAAGGTTTTCAACATGCATATCAGCAACACAACAGTCATGCACAATTTAAACCAGAAGGCTTACCTTGACATGCTCCAGTGCGAATGTTAGGGATGAAGCCACGACGGCACGGCTGAGGCTGAGCAGGGCACATTTCACAGGGGTGACCCCATGCACGCCCAATGGTTGCACAACACAGGGTTTTTGTGCAGACAATTCCAGTTAGTTGGCCCTGACACATCTGGTTGCTAACTTGTGTGAAACACGGGCCTGTTCTGTAATCTGGAAAAAAGGAAAGATCACTGTATTATACAAGACAATGTACTAGTAACTACAGAAGGAATCAACTTTTAAACCAGTAGATACTTATATTAAGAAAAATTCCAAGAGGACCTGGAAATTTAAGTTATGCTACTGCTTACAGAAGTAGCAAGACAACTTCCACTGAGGATAATTATTTTCACAAGTTATCTTATTTTTCAATTTATTTCTTTCTGATATATGCAACTAATAACAGGCAGGAGGAGCCAAAACTGATCTGTACATTAACACTGTATCCAGTAAAATCCATAATAAGTGAAAGAGTTTTACAAACAAACAAACAAGCAAACAATCAAAAGAGCAGAACAGATTAAGCAAACAAGGACTGGTTTTCTAATGCAGCAGCCACCCATTTATTTGTTCACTCCACACTGATCAAAGTCCATGCCAGTGACCATCACAGCATTAACATTTCTGCTGGAATGCTTAGAGCAAAATAGTGCTGCCTACAGAGGACTGACTGGCAAAACACCATTTATTTTCAGAGATAATGAGACAATACAACCCATTCAAGCTATATTGGGTACACTGAATATAGCAAACAAAAAATATGAAAATATACTCCTTTTAAAATTCCTGTAAATTCTCAACTCATTAAGGTTCAACCTGTATAAATAGAAAGATTTTTTGACCTTATGAGGCAACACAAACTGGGAACAACAATTAACCGAAATTCTCTAGGAACAAATGCAAACCAGATGGTTGCCTGAAGCCAGATTTCATATTCTTATGGAAACATTAAGAAAGGGAAAAAGAAGAGAATGCAAAGCTTCCACTCAGACTCAGTCATGTCAAAGAAAGGATAACAGTGGGGTTACGGCTGCTCTCCCTCCTATCCCGTCCTATTCTCCTTTTTTTTCCTACTTAAACCAGACTCCACTACGGATATATGGGTCACACACTGTCTTCCACACACTTTCATTAGTGTGCAATTGGTCTCACAACCTTCTCCAATATGATACTTTCACCCTGAAGAATAAAAAAAAGAGCTTTAATGTGTATGGAAAAAGAAGAAAATGGCCTTCCCAGTGAGACCTCTTATTAAGTTTTCTTTGCACTAAGACATGAAGCTCCTAAAATAAAAGCTAGCTCAAATAGAAATAAACGTTCTGCTCCCTATTTTTGATAGGGTTCATTCAGGTATCAGTCTGGGAAAGACTTTTGCACACAGTTATTTATACACACTGGCAGTTAATTTAATCTGGGCTGTTCACTTTCAGTAAAGTTAAGCAAGCACGTAAGTTTCCACAACAAAAATGCCTAACAATAAAAGGACATTAAAAGATCTTAAATACTCAAAAAAGACTGAATTTTAAGCTTTCTTGAATTTTTATTAGAAAATAATCTTCAGAGTTATGTCTTTGAGCTTCCCCCGTGTCCATCAAGCCACAAAGATAGTAATTCTAGTAAAATATGTACATTATAAAAAGAAAATCCTGTCCATTAGAAAAATGTTTCAGTGATCTTTCATCCAGTATACGGGAAGATAAGCAGCTTTACAATCATCTCAGTTTAATTACGTCCAAGACTCTTGCCAAATCCGAAAGAGACAATTTTTTTACATAAAATACAGATCCTGATGACTGACAGCAGAAGACAGTGATGTCATCAAGCTACAGCCTTATATGAGAATGACAAATATTTGAAACATGAACTCCAACCATCAAAGATTTAATTTCCAGTAACCCACTGTAATCTTGTCTGTGTTTTAGTTAAAGGGTAAGGAAAAGACTCTGTCACATATCATGACTGAATACTTCTTTCATATAAAGTTTACTCAGGTATCACAAAGATCGAGGCAAATATGTGGTAAGCCGCATTTAACCTGCAAATCATCAGAGATGGTCAGCTTGCTATCAGAAGAAAATTGGAACTGCTCAGAATTTAAGAACTGAAAGAAATTGAATTAAATCCTGACTGTGGTGAAAACAAATGTGAATTTGGCTACTGAATTCAATTACAACATTATTTCACTCTTGGAAAACAGTGTTGCGCTCTTTAGCAAATAGTTGTATTATAATTTTTGCCTAATATTATCTGTAAAAGCATTTTCTATGTCACACAGTGAAAGTAAGGAGCTTCCTATGCATGGAAAAAGCATTTACTACAGGTCAATGAGCAGACTCTCATTCTAATGTCATCTAAGTTACATGCACTGCTAATATTAGAGTAATATAAATTATTAAATACAGTCCACTTATTTTTTCATTAATGACTGAAGTACTAATAATAGGCAGATTCTAGGAGTCTATGGTCTACTCTACATATTGAGAGCTGATTGTCTGACTGTAACTTGCACATTGCAGAATTTTTGCCCAAGTGATGGCTGCAGTCAGATCAATAAAACTTGAGTCTTTCCAAAAACATAAAGCTGAAAAAGACAAAAGGATGTGTGTGGGTAAACCTGAAAAGACCATTTATGAGACACTAGCAACACTGAGAGTACCATTAGAAAGTATAATCATTAGCAGAAGAAAATAAGACTTCCAGTAGTGCAAGGGAGCATGATCTCTGGATCCACACAGATTTGTATGGGCATACCAAATCCTGTCCTACTTCTGAAGTTGTATTCTGCATCACCCAAGGTACATACGGATCTACTCCTGGAAGGCTACTCAATGTCCACTTCCTTTGGAGAACGTAAGCATGATGGCTGATCATGCATTCGAATGGAATCCTGTTCTTGGGGGAATGCCCCCTATAATGAAATAAAATAATGATTTATTATGCATCCCTAAAATTTACAAAGGACTATTAATCTTGACATCCCAGCTCACTTTGGATTTCCTATTCAGAAAATAGGAGTAGTTCTGCTGGATAGGTTTGTATTTTCACAGCATCTGTTCTCTAACATACACTTTTTTCTAGGACTAATCCTTGGATAACAAGAAGCAATTACGGTAGGAGTAGAAATACAAATTACTTATTTTTCTGTTTAGTGGCTGATGATCTATAGGAATATTTTGGCCAAAAATCTTCCACATTAAGAAGTTTGGAATTCAATCAGACAAGATTAAACTTGCAAGTTAAACTTCTATTACCCTCCTGTAAGACATAAAATTATTATCTGTATACTGACAATCCCAGTAATGAAAAGTTCTGTTTGGAGGGTGTGTTTGAAAGAAAGATTGCAGAACATAACCATACTACAAAGATTGTTTTTGCAAAAGAACATGGATGAGTTGGATACAAGAACAAGTGATACCAGTACATCCATTGAAAAGTGGTTCTTTGCACCACAGCTCTGGCAACTGCATTTCAATCAGGATGCTGGAAAACTACAAAAATTATGCAAAGTGTCAGAGGAGTAATTTAAGATTTCAGAAACATGCTTTATAGCAATATGAATATTTTAAAATACTACTATAATTGAAAATATTATCCATAACAAATGTATCCATTTAAAAATTCTTTATCCATTCAGTTTATCCAAAATGAAGACCAGCGGTAGAGAGTCTGAGTAGTAGTGGCTGGTCTTCTATTCCAAGAGGAAAATGTAAGATTTTACAATACGAAGTGAAGGCAGTCATGTTTGGGCTAATAGTAGCATACTGCTGTTTACATAAAGGTTTCTACTCACAGTATATTTTTACTGACAGGAAGCAAACATACTAAAACTAGTTCCCAATCTGAAGATAGTTTGTAGTTTCAAATGAAGCTGTGGATTTGATTCAGATATTACCATGTGAGATTCTATAATCTGTTTTATACAGTCAGTCAGACTATATCACTATAATGATTCATCTGACCTTAAAAACTCTGAGTTTATGAATCAATCAACTTTTCCATATTGCTTTTATTGTCTAATTGTTAGGTGTTTTTTCATTTGCTCCTTTCCAAGCACTGCTGACAGAATAATTTTAACAGAAAGAACATATGTTGTAAATCATCTGTTGCTTAGAAAGCGTAACTGCTTTGGTGAAAGGAAGTGATTTTCAGCACATACATGTTAGGCATTTTTTTACCTTCAGAAAATTAGACTCAATTTGCACCATGACTTGAAGAATGACAACCTTTATCAACAATGCAAATTGTTAATATAATTAAATTTAATAGGAAATACTTTTTTCTTGGCATCAACATAAAAAAACCCCAACCTTGGAAATAGCATAATGGACTTCTAAATTCAATTTGCCTTCTTTCACAGAAGTGTTCATTCTGTATTCACAAACTGGACTATCCAACTATCATGGTTCTTTGGACCTCTTTCATTAATTCCTTTTTAAAATTACAAGACTATTCTAATTCTACTTGTATTTTTAAAAAGGCTATTTGACAGGGAGCCTGCCACAGGGATTGGAAACATAAGTATTCTTGTGTTGGATACTGTCCAATATATATGCATTTCTTCCTGTACCTCTGGTCAAAACCAGATGATTCAGATGAAGGTGTAAAAACTTGCTGTAAGTAGACATGGGATAATCTGTCTGCCACATTAAGTTTCCTCCTGGTGTCTAACACCCACTAGCTCAAAATGTGAAACACAATGTTTAACATCGCAGCTACTATTTGTTATAATTCAGGACAAAACATTAAATTATTTTAGTAGACATATAAGGATCCAATTTCTACCTGAATTTTATCCCAGTTTCATACTGTGTTAACTCCCACCCATGAACATTTAAACCTCTTCTCATGTAACTAAAAAGAGAAAAAGTGAGACATAAAGAAAAGGAAAAGTAAAAAGCACCTAAGTGTGTTGGAACGCCCATTGCAAGTTACCTGGAATAATATGAAAATTTGAAGTTTCTTTTCATGGGAAAGAGCAGACTGAAATTTTAAATGAAGGGTCCCAATACCAAAATATTTTTTCTCTATAAAGCCCAACAGTACTATTCATGGGGCAAAGCCTTTGTAAAAGCTCTGGAAGGGTAAAAGGACATAAACTGCAGTGCTGGAGCATCCTGTTATCACAAATCCAGTACTTCATGTCTGTGAATGCTAAAAAGATTAGGAGGAAGGAACTGTGAAGTCTCTCCCACAATTTTTATTTAAACAAAACTCTGCAGAACCATAACTAAACAAGGAAGCAATGCACCTAGAAGTAAATATTTTTAACTATAAGCTATTTGGATTATTGATACTTCCATTACTAAAAATGGAAGTGGAATATAAAATAGTGAAAACATTAAGCATGTTGATCAGTATGAATCACATGAGGAATGAGTAAAGGAGGAGGTCTGAGATATGCCCTTCCACTCCTGTCAACTAAAGAATAAATCCTAATGCTTGATAAATCTGTGTCACTTCCTTACAAAGCAAATTTGCCTTTCATAAGGACTTTTTACAGAACCTTTCTCCCATAAGTAAGTTTTAGCAAATATTAATGAAGGGATGAGAAAATACGTAATTTTGACTTCTACCACCTTATTTGCCGACTCAAGTATAGTAACCGGCTTATAATTATTAATAATACCTCAAAAATCCGCTTCAAACATCAGCATTGTTAAATAAACAACCTAATACATGGGATCTAAATGATGGAAAGTAGGCCCTGCTGTTAGGATTACCAGGAATTTTATTCTCTTCTAAAAGAAAAATTAGCAAAGTGGGTGAAAGTCCTAGAGTCTGGACTCTGTGCCAGGGCACCTTCAGAGTGGAGAGAGTAAGTCTAGATTGGAAAAGATCTGAAGCTAAATTGATTGTCATGGAAGATGCTACAATAGGAAGCATGCTGGAGAAGCAAACGACTTTATTAAACCTCTGACAGGAAACTGTGGCAAATTTCCCCATAATTTCCACTAAGATTAAGAGGTCTCCAGCAACCTGAAACATTTTTGCTGCTTTTTGCAGCACCTGCTTCTTGATTACTAATGAAATTTCAAAGAAACTGTATCTGAATTTTCCCCTTTGCAATGTGGAATCTAAATGTTTCGTTAACTAAAAGTATAACCAAGCTCCATCTTCCTGCAATGGGAAATCCCACAATGTGTGATTCCTACAGTGGGAGGATTGGAAAAGCAAGGCAT